CACAGGGGAGCAAATGTACAAGCAATTTGTTGATCTATATGAGGGCAAAGGGCAAAGAAAATATTTAATCCATGAGGGAAAGCTGGGTAGAAAATGCAAAGTTGTAAAAACTTATTAACAAAGCAAGACAGAATATGTGAATTAATAACACTATTCTTTTTTAAAAAATATTTTATTATTTTTATTTTATGTGTATGAGTATATTGCCTGCATGTATGTGAGTGCACCCATGTTGTGCAATACTGCAGAGGTCCGAAGAGGGCTTCAGATTCCCCTGGAACTGGAGTTAAGGATGGTTCATAGCCGCCATGTGGGTGCTCAGAATCAAACCTGGGTCCTCTGCAAGAGCAGTCAGCGCTCTTAACCGCTGAGCTATCTCTCCAGCCCCACATTAACTATTCTTAAAATTAGAAATAAAAATTACTAGACAAAAAGAAAATACCCCTTTTTCTAGTGGATTCAAAGTAACACAAAGGCCAGTAGTGGTGGCACACACCTGAGATCCCAGTGTTCAAGAGTTGGAGGCAGGAGGATTGTGAGCTCAAGACCAGGCTGGACTATAACGTGAGACACCCCTCTCCTCAACCCCTGTCTCAAAACAAGAACAAAAAAGTGGTCTTAAGGGATGAAAAGCAGCATATTATTTCAAGTAATGCTTGTTGGCAGCTCTAAAGGGGAAGCTAAGGCATCCCTCGATGTGATCAGTGTTCAAAGCTAGTGAGAGGCAAAGAAGGGTAACAGACACTGAGAACAGTAGAAGGGAAATAACCTCAAGCAAGCAACATGAACATCATGAAGTCAAAAAACTCACATCTACCGAAGACTGGCAATGACAGAGATGTAGCTCAGAGGTAGAGTGCTTCAATCTCCTGTACCATGAGACACACACACACACACACACACACACACACATACACACACACACACGATAAATAGGAATTCAGTAAGATTGGGAATGACCATCCTCACCATCACAAAGAAGTCTCTAAAGTAAAAAGACTAAACCTATTAGGTCACTGTTTGAGCAGAAAAAAAATCAAGGTTTAGGATCCATATGATGGGGACCTTGCTGCACTGGCCGAGGCTGGCCTTGAACTCACAGAAATCCCCCTGCCTCTGCCTCCTGAGTGCTAGGATAAAAGGCATGTACCACCACACCCAACATTAATTAATTTATATTTTGCATGTATGAGTGTTTTATCTGCATGTATGTACATGTACCATGTGTGTACAATACCCACAGAGGCCAGAAGATGGTGTTGGATCCCCTGGAGCCGAAGTTACAGGTAGTTGTTAGCTGCTACATGGGTGCTGGGTCCTGGTCCTCTGTAAGAGCAGCCAGTGCTCTTAACCACTGAGCCATCTCTCCAGCTCCCTAACCTCCAGGTTCTTAAAAAATAGGTCCACTGTATATCTCTATCCATCCATCCATTCACTCATCCATCTAGTGTGTGTGTGTGTGTGTGTGTGTGTGTGTCTGTGTGTCTGTGTGTCTGTGTCTGTGTGTGTATCTGTGTCTGCATCTGCGACCATGTAAGCCAGAGGGTAGAACATTTTTCTTTAATCATTTCTCTACTTCTAAGACAAGATCTCTTTCTGAACTTGAAGCTCACAAGCTCCTGGAAACCCATCTTGGCTCCCCAACATTAGGGTTACAACTGTGTGACACTGGTAGGCTTTTATGGTTGGTTCTGGGGATTTGAACTCAGGCCTTCATGCTCACACAGCAAACACTTTATTCATGGAGCCATTGCCCTAGTCCCATCACAGATCTTTAAAAGAACTAAAAATTTTAACAAATTATTTTATTGATAAAGATGAATGAATGTTAAATGGATGCAGAAAAAAAGGATACAGCATACAGGAAGTCAGGTTTAAGAATACTAAAGGTTTTTTCAAGAAATATTCAGAATACAAGTTATTACATTTCTCCACAGCCCAATTCCCTGTTTGTTGTTGTTGTCTTGGTTTTTGTTTATTTGGTTTTTAATTTTAATTTTTATTGAATTTTTGTGTATTTCATACATTAAATCATCTTTATACCCCCTTCCCCTTTGACATCCTCCCATAGCCCCCCCACTAGAGTTCATACATTCTGACATTTGTGTTAAGGCCTATTATGTAAAGTTGGTGTCCCCAGATGAAAGTTCATCCACTGGGGTCTAGTCAGCCTATCAAAAGTCTCTCCCTTTATGAAGATCAGCTCATTCTCACCCAGCAGCAATCAGCTGTCAATAATTCTTCGACTAAGATTGGGGCTGGATGTTCATTTCCACAGTTCTGTGCTGGGTTTTTGTCTGCCTAAGTTTGCATGGGTCTTGTGCAGGCTGACACCATTGCTATAGATTTGTTTTTGAGACAGGGTCTCAGTATATAACCCTGACTTGCCTGGAGCTGGCTATGTAGACTAGGCTAGCCTCAAACTGACAGATATCTGCTTGCCTCTGCCTCCCAAGTACTGGAATTAAAGATACACACCACCATGTCCAGCCCAAAGCTTTATTGTTCATTGCCTGCTTTTCATTCAAAAGATTTTGGGAGAGTGACTGGAGATGACTCAGCAGTTAAGACTAAAGAAAATGACATAAAATGAATAGAATCAGAGCTGAAGAGCTAACTCAGTGGTGAAGAGCACTGGCTGCTCTTGCAGAAGACCCAGGTTTGATTCCCAGCACCCACATGGCTGCTAACAACCATCTATAACTACAGTTCCAGGGAATCCAACACCCTCCTCTGACCTCCTTGGGCACTGCATGCACATGGTGCTTTTACATACATGCAGGCAAAACACTCATACACATAAATAAATAAATCCAAAAAGAAAAAAAAAAGATGATGGAGACCAAAAGATTATGGAGCCTGGGTCAGGTAGCCACTATCGGTTCTTAAGGTCTTCTCTCAGAAGGGAGCAAACCTGTAACCTGTCCTTCAGGCCCCTCTAGAAGGTCAAAGCCTTTCTTACACATGCTGCTCCTGGCCCCCTTTTCCATGTCTTTATTCTTCAAGTGTTTTCTCATTGCCCAGTCTAGACTGTTGCAATGACCAAAAAATTTCAGAAATTTCTGTTACACTTGGCCACACAGGGCTGAAGCCTGAGTTACTGACAGAGACTGTGACCCAGTGGCCAGCAGCAGGACGCCCCAAGCTGGCCACTGCACAGTAGAACAACCTAACCACTAACTTCTAGGACGGGTTCAGAAGTCACATGACCACAGAAAGTGATGTCAGCCCATAGTAGGACTTTAAATTTTTTTGGTATCAGCAAATAGAAACTGTTTCAGGCTGCTATAAAAGCTACCTCTAGCGGAAGGGGGAAAATGAAGTTAGCGGCGCTGAGTCATAAGTAGCAGTAGTCCTCCCGAGGGGGGTGGCATTTCATCACAGCCTGGTGTTGAATAACTTATATATTAGATGCTGAAGCTGGCTACAACTCCGCAGAGAACCAATGCCACATTCAGATGGCAGTCCAAGGCCTATGTGAGACATGTGTTCCCATGAGGCCAGGTCACTGTGTGGCTGTGTCTCCTGCAGCTGTATAGGGACAGCAGTCTACCCTGAACTCACGTAGTGAGACCCTGTCTCAAAACGAAACAAAACAAAACAAAAAAAAAGAGGGGGCTAAAGAGATGGCTCAGTGGTTAAGAGTACTACCCACTCTTGCAGAGGACCCAAGTTCAGGCCCTAGCATCCACATCAAGCAGCTCACAACCACCTGTAACACCAGTTCCAGGGGATCTGACATCCTCTTCTTGCTTCCAAGGGCACCTGCACTCAAGTGTACACACTCATACAGGTACACATACATATTACACATGATTTTTGAAACATTAAAAAAAATATTTTAAACTAAGCCAGGTGTGGTGGCACACGCCTTTAATCCCAGCAATCGGGAGGCAGAGGCAAGCGGATCTCTGTGAGTTCAAGACCAGCCTGGTCTACATAGCGGTTCCATCCAGACCAGCTGGGGCTACAGAGAGAACCTGTCTCAAACAAACAAATAAACAAACAAACAGGGGCTAGAAAGATGGCTCAGCAGTTAAGAGCACTGGCTACTCTTGTAGAGGACCTGAGTTCAGTTCCCAGCACCCACATGGTAGCTAACAACCATCTGTAACTCTGGTTCCAGGAGATCTGATACTCTTTTCTGACCTCCACAGGTACTGCATGATATGGGTACACTATGTATATGCAGACAAGCACTCATTCGCATAAAAAAAAAATACGAGAATGTTTCCCGTGGTTGGTTAGAATATGTTTTGATGTTTATATTGGCATGTTTAGATGTTGGGTTTAGTCTTCTGAAGATGGTCAGCCATTTTGTATCAAACAGCACAACCAGTGTCTGTCAGTTTCCATGCACAAAGTTTAGTGAGATGTTATATGCAAGATCTGATTTGCTAGTTCTTCCTTGTAGAGTTATAAATGGAAAGATTACACTATCTGATTAATAGTTTCTTCTTTGTGGCTTTAGAATATTGTAATTTGTTGCACACTATGTAACAAAACAACTGAAGATATGTTTAATAAATATTGTACTTATTGGAAGTAATATCAAAAAAAATTTTTAAAAATAAACAAAACAGAGAACTTCATAACTGCACATGTTTATTGTACTTGTTAAACAACTCATCTCTCAGAAAATATTGAAAACTTCTGACTTCAGGAGCTCACACCTTTAGTAATAATCTTTCCTCAACTTATGACCTGAGTTACAATTATCTTCTCGTACCCAACATGGGTACCTGCTGATGATGATCACAATACTTACCACATTACAAAAAGAATCCAGACCAATGCTATGCACGTACTTAGAACATTCTGGATTAGATCAAGTAAAACTTAAAACAAGCTGAACAGCATTCTATAAAACAAAAACAAAGTCAGTTATGCTAATTCTCTCTCTTTTTCTAGCTGTGGGCTACAGGGAGAAAGAAGACTGTCTTGCAACTTAATGGCTGAACCAAACCTGAACTCTTTAGCCAACATTTATCTACACTTACCTTAGAAGAAGTTCTTTGGGCAACTTCTTGTTAATAAGGCCTTCATCACTGTTTGAGAAAACCTGAAAGAAAAAGAGAAACAGAAAACTGTTCTTCAGCTAATTTTAAAAAATTACATGTTTAATTTATTTATGTATTTATCTATCTATTTATTTAGAGACAGGGCCTCACTGTGTAGCCCCGGATGGCCTAGAACTCACCATGTAGACTAGGCTGGCCTCAAACTCAGAGTTCTACTCGCCTCTACCTCCTAAGTGCTGTAATTGAAGGCATGTACCACTATACCTGGCCCAAGTTACATGTTTTTAGATGAGATCAGAAAAGCATCAGACACTGTCCAAAAGAAAAAACAAACCAAAATAATAATTTCACAAATGCCAGCATATTCCAATACTGAATAGCAGAAAACATTTATGCTCTCTCAACCTTTCCTGAAAATGGCCACGTACAGCCATTTGTATATCCACTGTACCAGAGGCTCTGGGTAAGAAGGAATGAAAAGAAAAGGGATAAAGTACAGTACAGAAAGAAAGGAAGCAGTACGACACTCTGCTCATATACAACATGACCTTGTATCTAGCAAACTCTGAAAACCCACAGAAAAATCAATTACACGTCAAGAAGTTCAGTGACGTTATACATTTATACAAAAGAAATGTTTCTTTTAAAAACACATTTGCTGCCAGGTGTGGTGGCGCATGCCTTTAGACCCAGCACTCAGGAGGTAGAGTCAGGTGGATCTCTGTGAGACTGAGGCCAGCCTGGTCTACATAGTGAGTGCCAGGCCAATTGGGGCTACAGGGAGACCCTGCCTCAAAAAGACCAAAAAAAAAAAAAAAAAGCCGTATTTGTTTTATTTTTAATTGTGTGTGTGCATTTGACTGCAAGTGCCCTTGCAGGCCAGAAGAGGGCATTGGATCCCCTGGCGCTGGAGTCACAGAGGAGGCTGTGGCTGCCCAATGTGGGTGTTGGGAACCAAACTCAGTCCTCTATAAGAGCAGTATGCACTGTTTGTTTACTTTTTGAGACAGGGTCTCACTGTAGCCCCAGCTGGCCTAGAACTTGCTACATAGACCAGGCTAGCCTTGATCTCACAGAGGTCTACCTGCCTCTGCCTCCCCAGTGCTGGGATTAAAGGAGTGCACCACCATGCTCTGCCTAGTATGCACTCTTAACTGCTGAGCCATCTCTTCAACCCCAAGAAGTAATATTTCTTTACACTAGTAACAGAAAACCAGGGAATGAGTTCCAGAACAATTACTTAGCACTGAAATGAATAAAATACTCAGGAATGAATTGGACAAAAGCAGCACAAGACTTCCAGACTGAGAATTTTAGAGCTGCAGAGATGACTCAAAGGGTAAGAGAGCTTGCTTGCAAGCATGAAGACCTGAGTTTGAATCCCCAGCAGCCACAGAAAAAAGCCAGGCATGGCTGTGCATGCCTGCAGTGCCACCACTGAGTGGTGGCAGATCCCAGCAGCTTGTTGGTCAGCCAGCCTAGGTAAGCCAGCGAACTTCAGGGTCAATGAAAGACATTGTCTCAAGGGAATAAAGTGGCAGGTGATAGAGGAAGACACCTCACATCTTCCTTTGGCCTTTGCATGCTCATGCACAGACATGTACACACATGCACACACACACAAATGTAATAAAATATTAAGATTTTTTATTATCTTTATTCACATATATGTGAGTCTGTGTGAGCATATGCTACATGTGTGTTGGTGCTCACAGAGGCTGGAAGAGGGTGTCAGATCCCCTGGAACTGGAGTTACAGGCAGATGTGAGCCCTCTAAACTGGGTACCAGGAACTGAACTCAGGTACTCTGGGGGAGCAACAAGTGCTGTTAATTGCTAAGACATCTCTCCAGACTTAAAAAAAAAAGTTTTTAACTGCAAAGCTGTCACAGTTGAATACTGAAGTTCTGGGATAGTTGACGATAACAGAGGAAATTAATAGAATTGATAGCCCAGAAATAAACACATCTGTAAGCAATTGAATTAAATAGGGGAAAATAGTCTTTTCAAGAAATGGTGCACCAGGATAGCCCCATGGAAAACAATGAAGCTGGATTTTTAACTCAGCCACACAAAATAGTTCATTTGAATTGATGAGTCCTAAGTAAACATAAGAGCTACAATTCCAACTTTCAGAAGAAACATTGCCATAAACCTTTGAGTTTCTGGGTTACACAACAGGTTTTTTTGTTTTTTTAGTTTGGTCTTTTTGAGACAGGGTCTTCCTGTAGCCCCAGCTGTCCTGGAACTCACTATGTAGACCAGGCTGGCCTTGAACTCACAGAGATCCACCTGCCTCTGCCTCCCTCCCGAGTGCTGGGATTAAAGGCATGCGAATGTAATTTTTATGTACATGAGTACTTTCCCTGCACATACGTAAGTGTACCATGAGTGTGCAATGCCCACAGAGGCCAGAAGACGACGTCAGATCCCCTGGAACTGGAGTTAAGGACGGTTAAGTACAGTTGCTAGCTGCCTCATGGGTTTTAGGAACCAAACTCGGGTTCCCAAACTCGGGTCCTTTGCAAGAGCTCTTAACTGCTGAGCCATCTCTCCAGCCCCTTTACAATAGATTTTTAGCTATGATACTAAAAGCATATGTAACCAAAAAAAGGTAGGTAAATTGGATTTCATCAAGATTAAAAACCTTCTGGATTCAGAGGACATCACTGAGAAAGGGAAAAGCATCTGGGTAACCCACCTGTAATCTCAGCTCTTGGGAGGTAGAGGCAGAGGCAGAGGTGCAGAGGCAGAGGCACAGAGAGGCAGAGGCAGAGACAGGAGGACACAAGTTTGAAGCCATGCTAGCCTACAACAGCAAGTTCCAGGTCAATCAAGACTTTGTAATGAGACCTTGGGTAGGGGGTGAACGGAAAAAGCTGAAAAATATTTGCAAAGCATGTGAAAGGAACCTGCATCCAGAATATATAACCTCTCAACAATAAAAAGGTATCCCAGGGCTGGGGAGATGGCTCAGTGAGTAAGCACAAGGATCTGAGTTCAAATCCCTAGCACTCACATAAAGAGCCGGGCATAGCTGTGCTTGCCTGTAACCCCAACATTGGGGGGTGGAGGTAGGCAGATCCGGAGAACTCGCTGGCCAGCCTAGCTGAGGTGGTGAGTTTCAGGTTCATTGAGAGACCCTGTCTCAAGGCAATAAGGCAGACAGTGATGATAAAGGAACCAACATCCTACTCTGGCTCCACATGCATGGCCATGTGCACCCTCACACTCATGTTCACACACCCCCTACACCCCATATTACACATAAAACATAACCCACTGCAAGAATGAGCAGAGGAGCTAGGTGCAGTGCTATGAACCTATAATCTCGGCTGCTTGGGAGACTGAGGCAGGATTCACTTGAGTCATGACGATGAGACCAGCCTGGGCAACACAGTGAGAACCTCAGTTGATTAAGTGTTTGCCTAGAATGCATAAAACCCTGGGCTTTGTCCCTAACATCACATAAACTGGGTGTAGTGGGGCACACATGTAATCTCAGCCCTGGCGAGGTGGAGGCATGAGGATTAGAAGTTCAGGGTTATTCATAGTTACACAGCAAATTTGAGGCCAGCCTGGGATATGTGAGATCCCATCAAAAATAAATAAATAGGGCTGAGTGTGTTGGCTCACGCCTTTGATGCCAGCACTTGGGAGGCAGACACAGGCAAATCTCTGTGAGTTGGAGGCCAGCCCTGTCCGCATAATAAGTTCCAGGCCAGCCAGGACTACATAGTGAAACCCTGTCTCAAGAAACCATAAATAAATAAATAAATAAATAAATAAAAACTTATTTTTTTGAAATTTTGTGTATTAGTGTTTTGTCTGCACGTAAGTGTACCACATGTGTGCAATGCCTGTAGAGACCAGAAGAGGGCATCATATCCTCTGGAACTGGAGTTACAGATGGCTACCAAGCTGTCCTCTGCAAGAGCAACCAATGCTCTTAACCACTGAGTCATCTCTTTGGCCCCCAACAACAAAACTTTTTTAAAAAGTGCTACATTACCAGCTGGTCAGGCAAGACACTCACTGGTGCAACAGTGGCAAGTCCATTATGAGGGTAATCAACTGCTTTCTGATTGGATTTGAGGTCTGTTCCACAGTCCACAGGAAAGAATTCACATCTGGTATAATCCTGGTCAAAAGCTGGTGACTGGGGAGGTCATAGGCCAGAGGGGGGAAGGTACCACCACTGTTTTACTAACTGGACATGATATGCCTGTCAAATTGCCTTCCAAATATTTTTATTTGTGCCCATAGATCAGTGCTGCTGTCAGCTTTAATCAGAGAGGCTTATTTCTACAGTGAGTGGTGATTAATGCATAGATTCATAACTGGTCAAAGTGCTGAGAGTAACTGACTGTTGAAAGCTGAGCCCTAAACAGGATATCTACATCACCCCCTCCAAAGCTTGAGGGATATCATGGAAGACTGTGGAAAGAAAGTAAGAGTGGGAGGAAGGGCTGGAGTGTTGTGGAATGCTTTCTTCTGGACATGACATGATCACTGGCCTCTCAGCAGCTGTGAGTCACCTGCACAACACCTGCAGAAGATAGGGCCATCAACATTCTATTATAGATCAGAGAGGGGTCATGAGGCCCCAACTCTCCCTGAGAATATAAATGCAGCAAATGCTGGGAGAGGGGCATTTTCTTCAGTGGTAGTGAGGACGGGAAGGAGAGGAGGAGGAGGACCAGGAGGAGGACAACGACATGGCATAACAATGGAAGGGGGATGGTTGGGAAGAAGAAAGGGGTCACCAGGAGCTCTGTGGCCTAGGCTGTCCTGGAACTTGCTATATAAGTGGTGGCACCACCTAATGTGGGTGGCACCAGGCCACCTGCAAACCCACAGTAATTCTCTTGCATTAGCCTCCCAAATGTTGAGATTACAAATGAGAACCACCACTCCCAGTTCTTCATTTTCAATTAAGCATTTACAACTATAAATTTCCCTCTCAACATTGTTTTCACAGCAACCTGTAAGTTTTGAAGTTGTATTTTATTTCCAAGCAGCTGAAAGTATTTTTAATAGCC